CCAATCACTTGGCTGGGAGAGGGGGCAGGGAGAAGAGTGGGACAGGTGGAAGACTTCAGAATGAAAAGCTGAGGTCAGGCTACTTTACCTCTTGATAGCTATGATGAACAAGAGTATTAGCATCAGACTATGCAAGCTTTGTAATTAAACGAGGCTGCAGATTTCTATACTTAAGTATACTTAACTTGATAGGATGAGGGGGAATGGCTTTGAACTGGAGGAAGGTAGATTTAGATTAGATATTAGGAAGAAATTTTTCACTCTGAGAGCAGTAAGGCACTGGTGCAGGTTGCCCCGAGAAGCTGTGGCTGCCCCATCCCTGGAGGTGTTCAAGGCCAGGTTGGACGGGGCTTGGAGCAACCTGGGCTGGGGGGAGGTGTCCCTGCCCAGGGCAGGGGGTGGCACTGGGTGATCTTTAAGGTCCCTTCCAGCCCAAACCATTCTGTGATTCAGTTTTGCAGGTAAACCTGTCCTTGAAGCCAATTGTGAACTTGAATGAACTATGTACAGGCATAGGCTTGTAAAGATCGTGCTCATTGCGGGGGGGGTGTGTGGACTAGGCGACCTTTAAAGGTCCCTTCCAACCTAAACTATTCTATGATTTATCCAATTAAAAAATATCTGTTTGATTAAGAACTACCAAGCTTTGTGAATTGGTAATATGTATTCTCTTCTCCAGCACACCCCTGGACCAGCCAGCTGTCTGAGTGCACCGGTTTCTCTCTTGAAGACCTGTTGCCCTGTGTGCTGAGCCTCCACCAAAAGTGGTAATAGTTTTGGAACTCCTTTGGCAGTGTACATGAGTACTGGGATTCCAGCTGTTGCAGACATGCTGCGTCTATACAGTCAGCCCTTCCCAATGCAGGAGGTGGCTTTGGGAAACGGCCTTCCTGCCCCCACCACACAGCGCTGAGGTCCAGGGGCCGGTTCAGGAACAGCAGTTCTATTTCTCACAACTGGTAGTGGCCCTGGGTTACAGAAAATGGGATGTTCATCAAGGCTTAACAGGTTTCATCTTGCCAAACAGCGCTATTTTCAGAAGACTGCAACTGGCTTATTGGTGAGCTTCAGAAGAAGTTCCAGTACCAAAAGTAGCTTGTTTTCTAAAGAGTACAAGGCAAATATCTCGTTCACCTCAAGGAACAGAAGTTAGATGCTCATATTCTTAAAAACCTAGTGTCCTGGCTGGCTGCTTAGCTGATGGAACACCAACTTCCTTAGCACAGAGCTGAGTTGGACAGAGGGGAAGTACTTAAATTGGCAGGTTTTATTAATGTTGTTTCATACAATTCATTCTAAGATTGGGGGCTTTAATCTTTCTTTCCAGTTTCCATGACGATGTCCCAAAGGATTATAGGCAGGTGTCCTTAACTGCAGTGAAACAACGATTTGAAGATGAGCGTTATGAAGAAATAGGCAAAGAAAAGGTGGGTGAGCTCTCTTCGTTTGCTGATGTCTGACACCCAGAGCAAAGCCACCATGCGGCAGGCTGCAGTAAACTTCAAGTAATGGGAAGTGGGTTCTAACTTTTGACTTTTGGAGAGAGGGTATCTAAACAAAGTGGTGGCTTTAAACTTGATCTGTGGGGATGATAATTGCTCTGGTTGAGTACCTGTGGGAAGAACTCACTGGGATAGGTTTCTCCTAGAAAATGAAGAGAAAGTCTCCTGGCAGAGGGGCACGCATGGTCTAATTTTTACTGGTTTTTGGGTTTTTTTTAGATGATGAGTTACAGCCAGCTCTGTTCGTTGTTGGGTGTGAAACAGGAGGACCCAGAGCCCAGTCCCTTGCACACAAACGTGGTGGAAATTCAGACTTTCCTCAGCTCTCCCTCTGGGAAGAGAACTAAAAGGCTAGTATGACTCAGCTGTAAATGCCCCTGAGGATTAGCATGAGCCTTTCCTCCTCTCCGGTATCCCGAGGTTCACTTCTTAAATATGATCAATTTTTCTGTAATCCTCTTAATTGACATACCTCTTTAAAGAGCTGCGATAGCAGACTTGGCTTTTAATGTGTGACTTCTGGATTCTCTTTCTACAGGAGGAGGGAAGACAGTATTCAGGATGATAGAGGCAGCTTTGTGACTACACCCACAGCAGAGTTATCCACCCAGGAAGAAAGTCTTCTAGATAACTTCCTAGACTGGAGTTTAGATTCCTGCTCTGGTTATGAAGGTGATCAGGAAAGCGAAGGCGAGAGAGATGGAGATGGTGAGGGTTTTATTCTCCTTATAAAAAGCAGATGAGAGAACTAAAACTGTCTTTTCATCTTTGCTTAAAACTGTTTCTCAGGCAAAAGAAGCCTGAAGACCAGTTGGAAAAACTCTCCCCCTTCCCCAGTGGTTATAATTGTTAAACTGTTTTAGAGGTATATATCTGTTCTCTTTCTCTATACTGCTTCAGAACATGATGAAGGGTTGTGTAGCTGCTTAGTGTTTCAGAGAGACTCTTTTCGGATACCACTGATAGTGGACCAAATGTGAAGAATGGCCCCCCTGTGTTAAAAATGCTGTATTATACGTTTGTTTTGCTGACTCTGGGACTGGCTGTTCATTTTTTAAACAGCTCTTAGTACCTATCCAAACAGTCAGAGGGGGAAAAAGTTACTGTTTTAAATGAGGGTGAACTTAGTGCTCTACCCTCCCTTCCATGTGTAAGAAGACATAAGGTTTATGCTTTTGCTTGGGGTTTTTTTCCAAAAAACCCAAATCAAAACTAACCTTTTTCTTTTATCCCACAGTGACAAGTCCCAGTGGGATCTTGGACGTGACAGTGGTCTATATGGATCCCACAGAGCACTGCTGTCAGGACTCCAGTGATGAAGACAACCTAACTGTGGAGCGGGCTGCACACGCGGCACCACCGAGGGAGGCCGAGCTGCCAGATGACACTCACAGCCTTTCAGCGTATCTCACCCCAAGAAATCCCAACCTGGAAGGGAGCTCGGGCTACTCTTCCGTCAACAGCGCCAGTCCTACATCTTCTGTAGAAGGCAGCCTTGGAGTACCTCTCAAACCTACCTCAGCGCTGTCTCTCGGCAGTGCCCCAAAGAAGGTGCCATGCCTGCCTCAGTACTTGGAATCATGTTTACAGTCGGTCTGTGCTAGGCCTAGGGAGGGCAAGTGTGACAGAAGGCAAGTCAAACGAAAAAACGTGGCAGAACACAGCGAAGAAAGGGTGAACTTGGGCTTCTTAAGCCTCTGATTTCTTCTTGCTCTTTACTTTTCTAGGGTTCCTGCAAACAGTATTTCTGTTGTAGTCATACAGGGATGATAGTGAGTAATTGTCAATACCTCCAAAAAGAGCCCTTCCTCTCAACTTTGCCTATGCCTATCTTGTAATTCTCTAGCTCACTTCTGGGCCATTTCCTTCCTTGATAGCTGCCTTTTTAACGTATTCCCTATTGTCTAATCCTCTGCAAATTAAGATTCTTCTCCACTAGGAAACTTTTTATAGCTCATTTTTGTCATACCTCACCAGTTACTTCTTGGTGACAGAAAGGAACTTGTCCTGTCCCTTGCTTCGCTGTGAGGCCTGGTGCGATAAAAGAAAGGAATTGACTTTGGTTATCAAGTTACTGGATGTAACACTATGCTTGAATTCTTCCACTTGAAAGACCTTTTTAAGGTTGTGCTGCCTTTTCTTTCTGGCCAGGTACTGTCTCACTCAGCTGGTGCTTCTCTCTTCTATGTATATACCATTTGCTGCACTGATACAAGGTTTTTAATGATACAATCAAGAGGTAAATGAAGGCTCACTGCAGGTCTGAGCTTCTTTTTTACCTACCTCTCAGATGGCCTTAAACCCCATTTGCCTCGGCCTCTAATTGCCATCTGTTTCCCTTGCCTGAAAAATTGTCCTTCTGTGCCTTAATGCTTCACTGCCCAGTACTACAGTATCGTGATCTCTGTGAACTGTTGGTCTCTGCTGGAACGGCGTGGTTCAGCTGCCACCTCCAGTTTCATTTCCCGTCTCGCAGTCTTCCTTGCTGTTTCCATTAGCACGTCCTCAAGTAAAGCACAAATCACTTGAACACTAGCATCAGGCAGCAATGTAGTAAGGGCAGACAGTTTGTCTTGCTGAAAGCCTGAATTTAAGCCTTGCTACTGGCTCCTAATCTACAAGGGCAGCATATGCTTTTTCTTATCAAAAATGAAACCTGTGCTGCTTCAGTAACGATTTGAAGAAACCACCTATGCTGACCTCAGCCTAGCAAGCCTGGGTTAAAGCTCCTTCGGCCTGTGAACGGTAGGAAAACTGCCTTCTCTTTACAAACAGGTAGTGAGCGTTGCAATACCAAGGTACAAGACTTCCAGGAGATGTCGCTGAATTTAACACTGGAACTGGACTCCGTGACTTTGTTTAGAATTTACTGTGGCAGACGGCAACAGTTCAGATACACACAGTGTAGTGACTTTTTTATAAAACTTTTTTTAATATAGATGGCTCCCTGTCTTACTTCAATGGCTGGTACCCCACTCACCTGTTTCATTGACCTGGGCCTTGGAGAACTGGTGGAATGTTTGGGGATGGAAGTCAGAGTTTAGCTCTGAGCCAAATTCTTACAATTAAGCACTGCCTGTAGGCTCTTTACATGAATTCCAGGACCAGCTGGGAGAACACCCTGCACAACAATGGAATGGGGCTCACCCCCCATCACAACTCTACAGCAGCCCCAGAAAGGCCTCGAACGTGCCAAATAACCAACTAACAGCAGCCTTGGGTACTCATCTACAAAGTTTATTACAAAACTATGTACTGCCACTGTAGCTAAAAAAAACCCAAACAACCCAAACAAACAAGTCCCTGATTTATTGTTCCTGTGCCAGGCTTCACCCTTCTCCCAGTGGCTACATTGCAGTTCTCTAGCTACTGCTTATAATGCCTTGCCATCCAGGAGTGTCTTCACATTAACTTGTTACAGCAGTGGTTCAAAATTCAGCATTAGGTCACATTAAAATTGGAAGAAAACACTTTAAAAAAATCTCTCAGTTCTAAAACAGGTAAAGGTTAAATATCTGTGGGAAAGGCCTCACGCTGCAGAAAGCTTTGAGCTTTTTTTTTTTTTCCTGTGCAAGTTTTCTTGATCTGAAAGATAAGACACAAAATAGGAACGTTAATCAGTTTGATTCCTTCCTGGGAGGAGTAGCTAGCTCCATGTTCCTGGGGCTTGCTGCTGAATCCAGTGGCCTTGGCTGATGCAGCCCTGGACTAAAACCCAATCTGTCTCTATCAAGCCTCAATCTTGGAGGTGCCTCATGGATAAAACAGAGTACCTGTGCTTAGCCACAGGCCTGAAGCAATAAAACCAGAACTACAAGTTGCTTTCTAAAAAGGAAAAGTAAAAGATAGAGCCCAGAGCCTCAACTCTTCTTAAAAAAAAATAAATTATAAAAGGACCAGTTTGCACCAGTCTGCATTTTGTTAGCACCTCCACACCCTGTTCAGCCTTTGCTTTATTAACCCTTGTTGTATTCCTCCAAGGACAAGCAGTTCCAGAAAAAAAGGAGGAAACATGCAGTAACACAGCTAAGCCTGGCTTTGTGTGGACCCGTTGCTTAGTAGGGAATGCTGAAGGGCCAGTGGTCCCTCCACACACCAGGAGCAGCCCCTAGGTCTCACCGGGAGAGATGTCAGACCTGCCTGCTCAGTGCCTGCAGCACCCCGTGAGCAGGTCAGCAGCGCTGTGGTGCTCTCAGCAGTACAGGGGGGGACAGGCACTTACTTAGGGCACCATTTTGATGTCCACAGGGTCATAAGCTGAAGCTTTCATCTTTTCCAGTGGCTTCTTGAAGAGCTGCCGCAGGCCCTCATAGTAAGGCTTCTCCTCATACTCTAGTGCCGCTACTTGCTGCAGGTAGCTCTGTAGGGCATCTGCAAAGCAAGGAACATGACTGCATGGAGCAGCACAGCAGCCCCAGTTGTCCTTACGAAGCTGCCAAATGGCCTCAGACTGCTCTCCCTGTGGACAGTTCACCCACCTGCCTCGGCCAGCTGCAGAGAGAGGGACACAAAACCAAAGACTACTATGAAGCTCAAAGACAAGATGGGGAAATAACCTCTTGCCCCAAATACTGCATTTTTAAAGGCACCAGAACACCTGCCTCTTCAGCAAGGCTCATAAACACAGAAAACGGGTAACAGCCCTCCTTGTTTTGCTGTAAAGAAAACAAGGGGTTTGTTCACAGGAGGAGCCTGTCAACCAGTCCACACGCAGCTTGGTCACTGTCACCAGTGGAAGCCACCCTGGACTAGCACCCCAGCACAGAGAAGGCTCTAGCTTCAGGTACGGTCAATCCTCCTTCCCCAAGTCCCACTGTCACAGAGAGCAAGCCCCTACCTGGAATGGGTCTCTGCCTGAAGCACAGTCGGAGAAGGCATTTCACATCCCCTTTGTACCTGGAATAACCAGTGCAGAGTGCTGTTAGGTGAGAAGCAATGGAGCAGGCACCTGAACAGCCTGTCTTTGGCAACAGGGACAAAAAACCCAAACCAAAACAGAAGACTGAATTCAGATGGCCACATTCTGAATGGAGCAGAAATCGGGGTTTGTCAAACACCCTTTGGCCAGGCTCAGCCTTTACCGTGGGATTTACCCACATCCCAATACTGTACTATGACCAAGTGACTTCTCTTCAGTCACAAAGCCTCCCTCACTGCTTTCTGCTGAGCATTTCCCAAAAGAGCAGATGATTTCTCCTACTTTTCTTTCTTCTCCACCACAGTTTCTACTTTGTCCAGCTCATCAGACCAAGGCAAGAAGCCACAGAGCCATTTCAGAAGGCAGTAGCCCAGAGATTCCAAGTCACTCCGGCGAGATGGTCCTGATGGGAAGGAAGAGAGAAAGAGTTTGAGAGCCATCTCAGAAGGGGCCCAGGCTAGTGCCTCTCCTCCAAAGGCAAGTAAGGACTCCAGCACTCACTGCACAACCTTGGAAGTCTCTATCTGAGGTGCCCCTTCTGTAAAACAGGCAGCCTCACAAAGGGGTACAAGTCTAAAGAGCAGAAGTACAGAAATGCAAGAGCTTCGTTAAGATGGGCTCTTGGATATCCATATTTCTGGGAGCCTGTTAACTCATACAGCTGAGGAATGATCTCCCAGCCTCTGGAGGAAGATTTGCTCAGTCTGAACACTGGGAGAGAAGAATTACATCCCAGCCAGGAAAGGAACTGGCTAATTTAATGCCTTTCCAGCTCTCATTGCTTCAAGGTCAGAGCAGAGCCTGCTGCAAATCTGTTTTGGGCAGGGATCCAGTCTGGCTTGAAAGAGATCCCTGCTAAGCCAGCACAAAGCAGCCCTCTTTTCTATTCCTCGCATGCCCGCAGTAGCCAAGGCTCCAGAGGGAACAGGAACATCCCTGCACCTCTTGCCGCAGTCGCTGAGTGACCTGGCAAGTCCCAACACAGCAGCTCAGGGAGAGGGAAAAGGAAAGAGCCCAAATAGGAACTTGCTTCCAGGTACATGCCTGGAAAGCAGCAGAAATGCCAGCAGGGAGCCCTAGCTCCAGAGAGCACCGCCACAGTAACAGCCCTAACTGAGCTTTGCTGGCTTGTGTCAGAAACACTCACCTGCTCCCTTGTGGCTGTCCAGACTGATAAACTCTATCGTGCCTTCGTGAGGGGTCCTGCTGCCTTCACGCTGAGCCACGTGCTTCCCTCCGGGGCAGTAACGGAACGCAAAGCAATAGCCTGCTAGGGTCACCTAGAAGGCATCAAGAAGCACACATCTGAGCGTGTGCATGGTGGGAATCCTGTGTACAGAGTAGCCTGCGATCCCGTACCACAGACTGCGCTGCTCCCCAGCCCAGCAGCAGGAACCCCGGTGTTGCTCTATTCCATTTCACAAGCCCACCTTCACTGCCCTTTCCTCGCAGCGCTGCTCCTGCTCCCTACCTGTGTGAGGTCTGCTGGGTTCAAATAGATGTTCTCAGCTGTGATGTCCCCGTGCACATACTCGTTTTCATGAATGTACTCCAGGCAGTCTAGCTAGGAGTTAAAAAAAAGAAGAGGCGAGCATATCAGAACCAGGCAGGCTCCTTCAGCACCCTGGCTATCACCGAGCTGGACCCTCCCCAGCTCCCCACAGCTGTGTGGAGGAGCACAAAAAGCACCATGTCTCACAGCTTCTAACGTTCAAGTGTCAGGTTTCTCTCCTCCTTACCCCAAATTCCTTCAAAGCAACATATCGCTGAAAAGATGCTACTCAAGTTTACAACAGGCTGGAGAGATGCTACTTAAAGATCCCCGCCCAACCCCCTGGCTCAGCTTTAAAACACCTTTAAAAGATCTTAAGAGGTCTTTTCTGAAAATGCCTATAAGAAAGTATTTTTTCTCTACATACCAGCCGGACTACAATCTGAAAAGCTGCCTTCTCCTTCAGTAGGTGTAAGCCATCATTCAGGACGGACTGAAGAGTTCGCCCTAAGTCAGAGAATACCAAAAACCTGCAAGAGACAAGGGCTTAGCACACAGCAGTACCTACTTGATTTGGAAACCCTGCAACAGACATTGCTGAAGCGATTCACCTGCATTAGACCCCCCGCTTCAACTCCAAATTGACCTGGGCAAACGTTTCTTCAACTTTTAGTAACAGAAAACTCCTTGAAAAGGAGAGATATGCTGATCTTGTGTTGCAGATAGATAGTCTGAGTCTGCCCTTTGTGTTAAGCTTAAAAGGCAGGACTAAGGTGTCCCCTGGCCTGAGAGGCAGAAGCAGCAAAAGCAATGACTTCACCAGCAACACAAGGACTGAAGAAAGCAATAATGAGAGGCAAACCAGTTGTTAATTAATGGGATAGAAGCAGTGCATAAGGTTGGGAGCCCAGGGGACAGTGAGAAAAGGAATGAGAGACAGCAAGGCGAGAAGAGGGAAAGCAGAAAGAAGATGGCAGTTGTGGACCAAAGAGCTCAGCTGTGCTCTTCGCAGTGTCACCTCACCTGTAGCTATCTGCATGCAGTCCAAAGCCAACGCAATTGGGGATTCCCAGCAACGGCACAGAGTGCAACTTCTTCCACTTCTCCACTAGAAGGGGAGAGAAGAGGACAGAGTGCAGCAGCTGCTGCTAAGCTCAGTCAGGGATGCCCCGTCTCTGAAGGCTGCTCTGCCCTGGGCAGCTCACAGCTGGAAGCCTCTCATACCGATTCTGACCCAGAAAAGTCAGCCTAGTGTGCTGGGGTACGGACACATCAATGCACAAAGCACTGCAGAGCAAGAATAAGACGGAAAGGATGCTGGGGATACCAGAGCATGCTGGGGCAGGTGGTTGCTATAGGGCTGGGTTAAACAAGAAAGGGGGAGAGAGAGAGAGATAGAGAAGCACATTTTTACAGTCCTCCCAGAAGTGCAGGTTTGACACGAATTCCTCCGTCACCCCTGTTCAAACTCCTGCCCACATTCTCTGGTCAGCTTTGCTCTTGCTCAGGTTTTTGGGTCAATGCAGCAAATACCAGACAGCAGCTGACAGAAATGCCCGTGGAAGGGAGACAGAAGAGAGAGGGAGCCAAGGCAGGTCAGGCTGCAGGGCTGAACAGCCACCAGGGAGGTCAAGACAAAGCATGGATAGAGCAAGAAAGCTTCAAAACGCCAATACTGCGGTGTCCTAAGGTACACAGAGACTCCTGGGAGTGCAGGCTCTTGGCCAAACTTCTCAGTGCTCTGGCATCAACCAAGCAGTGAATTAATTAATTCTAGCCTGGCCTTCCGAGAGACTCACGGAACTGATGAGAGAGGGATGCCAGTTTTCCTAACAAGCCGCTTAGTCCCTTCCAAGAAGCACCAACCTGTGCCTGCTTTTGCAGCTCGCTGGAAGAAGTTCTGTTCATTGTAGATCTTACCATCTTTGACATCCTAAAGGGAACAGGAGGGAGGAGCTTTACTTCAGCCGCACACACACCCTGCTAGAAAGGGAAACTTGGGCAAGATTGCTACAAGACCTTCACTACTCATTTTAAAGACAGCGACAACCCACCCCAAAAAAATCAAATATCAGACCAGCAACAGAGCTGAAAAGAGAGCTCAAGTCTTTTGCGTCACTATTTAATGCTGCGCCTAACCACCTTGTTCTGTGCTGATGCTCAGAGTTATGTGGGAGCAGCTGCCCCATGTTGAACATCTCAAGCACTGCCACATAGAACTGCCTGTGGGTTAGAATGCAGACCATCCTGCGACCTAAAGCAAGCTCTCCAGTCCTAAAGCTATTATTTTAAAAGGAGCCAGAGGCAACCTTCGTATCCACAGCACAGATGAGGTTATTTCTGCAAACAGGCAAGTCCCAGCAAAGAACTGTAACATTTTACTCTAGCTGTCAGGAAGTGAAACAAGTAAGAAAGTCTGTGTGTGTCACATTCAAGTGTCTGGGTAACGTGCTGAAATCTTACAATCCATCTTTACTGTTTTACTTTATCCATCTTTTACAATCCATCTAACCTGTGTTAATGCCCTTTTACTACTGCTGTTATCCTGAAACCCACATAGTTTACAGTCAATATATATGTTTGCCTGCACACACGTATATACATACTGAGCATACGGCAAGCTAACTTAGGACAGATGCTGTTATGTGTGGGAGGAGGCAGCAGTTTTATATCCTGGTGGGTTTGATACCAAAGGCCCTACCCACAACTGGCCAAGGTAGCTGGAGGATCAGCAGGCTCCAGACAACACAAACCACCACGTTCCAGAGGATATTTATTCTGCACCTTGCCTGGTGAGCCAGTCTGAGCCAGCAAAACCAGGAGCTAAAAATGCTCTCATGTGCCATATCACACTCTACAGCCCCCTGCAACCGCAAGGGCTGGGCTGTGCCGTCAGAAGACTACCGAGCAAAACGTCAAAAGATGCCAAAGGTGCAAAATGTAGGAGTTGGGAGTGTTACGTACAGAAGTGACTACAGTGTCCCACATACTGGTTCTAGCTTTGGGACGGTTAGCTGTCTTTTCTTGTTAACAACTGTATTATTTCTCAAATAATATACTCTCAAATGTAATTTCTGACAAAAGGGAGAGGGATTTTTCCAAGTGCCTGCAAGAGTGGGCACACCAGATCCCACCGGCAGTCATCACTGGTCTTCCCACAGACAAGCAACCCCCGGGAGCCACAGCAGACATGAAAACGGTCCTTCTGCTCTGGTCTGAGTTACTGAAAATCAATCAACTGCATTTCCATCGCAGAACAGCTATTACTGGAAATAGCACGTTTCTGGAGAACCCACGTTATTGGCAAGTGCCTAGAAAGCTGGCTCAGAACTCCCAACTATAATTACTGTTTGATTTAAAGACGTGCTCTGGCCTCACCGAGTCGCTCAGTGCTGGTTCATCACACTACCTCAGCACAGCCACCAAGCTCTAACCTCTCCAGTTTCCCCAGACTTCAGCAGGGTATGTGCACGCTTGCCAAACAGGAAAAAAAGCAGGTCTGACATTTGTGAATCAAAACCTCCACCTTACACCACCAAATTCACTTCTGGAGATTACCGAGCCTGGTAGACCAAAGAGGCAACCTTCTGGGATAAAGGCTTTTCATTTGTTTTTTTTTAATCCTCATATTTATTTTCTTCACACCTTTAGTGGGAGTGCCATCTGCTACTGAAACCCAAGCATGACACTTTCAGGAAGTTACATCCATCTCCTAAGCTAGAAGGGGCCACCGTGACCACTTTCTCTGAATGCCTCAAACACTCTTAGACTAAATGGGTCAGGCCCTGGACACAGTACGCTACACGCTATTCCTTACCCAAACAGATCAAAACTCACAAGTTTGAGGGAGTATCTTTGCTTTTGAGGACAGGTTCCAGATGCTGACTGTGCTGTGGAAGGATGGAACAGATGTGGTTACAGGAGCACAGAAAAGAGGTACTTGCAGTCTCAGCTGCATCACTAAACAAAGCCTGCACAGCTGGCTTGTACTTATCCTCTGCTTCTTTCACTTGGCTTTGGCAAAAGCATCCTCTGCGAAAGCGTCTTCCCAGATTACCACAAAATCAGTCTTACCTTGCTCCAGAAGCACAGCACCCCTGACATGCTTCAAGTGCAGTTCTGCTTAAGTCACAGAAGCATCTAGGCATAGCTACAGTAGTGGGGTGCTTTGAAGGTGGTACGTAAAGAACAAATCATTAGTAGAATCTCAAAGGCACCCCCAAACTCATTCCCTGGGCATATGTACCCTTCCTTCTTCAGAGATTTGTACCCTTTACTTGGCCTTGGGGTAGTTCCTCCTCTCCTGCTCTTAGACTGAGGGCTATACAGTTTATCTGTTACTCGTCACCCAGAGGATGTTTCTATAAAAGCATCCTCCACTATAATAACAATATTGGTTTTCTCTTTTTCTAACATCACATCTTTTTAAAGACATAGGTGGATGCCCAGAGTTTGTTATATAAGAGTGTAAGTAATTCAGAAGAAACTAAACTTAAATGTGGGGCAAAGATTACTGATGGACAAAATTCCTCCCAAAGAGTGTTTCCAAGTTAACAATGGAGAATAAGATTGGAACCTTTTCTTTGGAACTTTACAACCAGACTGGAGAGAAAAATATCAGCAGTCACTAGACAGCTGAGAAGCAGCCCAGATGATTTAGCCGCTTTCTTTTGGCCTCCAAACCAGGCTGAGAACCCAGAATTGACATTTAGTCGATACGGACATGGCCTACAGCACAGGAACTCCTGTATGGTGCCGGCAGCACTTTGGCTTTGAACCTAAAAACCAGAAAGAGGACGTATGGTGCTGGACAGCGTGTGTTTCTTTGAGTGGAGACTGTTCTTACGCCAGCACCAACATCCCCGTTGGGATGCCCAAAGTGGGAATGCCGGACTGTGGCTGCCATCCCGGAGGACACCCACACAGCGTCATCGCCTCCACACCGCCCCGGAGGGTTCCGGCGGTATAGGGAACATCCCGACAGCCGCCACCCACCACGGGCAGCG